CGAGAAAAACACCAGAAGAATGGCTGTTTTCTTTTCTCTGCTGAGGACTGACTTGTTCTACAATGTGTAAGGGTGAATGAACAGGTCACTCTGTGAACTGCAGATCGATAACAGGCAAAGAAACAGGGCAGAACATGATAGCGACCAGAATGGAGAAGCAGGTAGCAGAGGAAAACAGTTTACAAGGATGTTGAGTAGATCGGAAGGATGCAGGAAGTAATATGATAGGATAGAGAAAGGAATAAACTCAGAGAGAGAGAGAGAAGCAGAGTTGAAGGCAGAGATAATTTGTTGGACAGAAATTAAGGTTTATTGCTTTTGCCTGATGGTTGTTTTGTAATCTTGTCCTTGTGGCCTATAGAGGAGTGTGCTGCGTGGGCTCCTGTTAGTGATCTCATGCTCCATCTGTGGTGTAAAACATAATCCCATGAGAAAGTGGTGTCATACTGATGCTATCACACCACTCTGGTGCTCACAAGCACTGACTGAGCTGGCACACTCCACTGTGTCATTCTCTTCATACTTATGTTGCAATAGCGATGTGATCTCCTTGGAGTACATTTATTAGCCGAACTGATCAGAAATCTGCTTCCATATGATTCCAGAATCCTACTTCCGTCCCCATCTCTAAGGCATGATTTAAAATAAAACAAATGAATATTGTGCCTGAGAGCCATGTTATCATGTTTTAACTGTGTCTGCTGACTCCTGCTAAAAACAAGTAAACCTCACCTGGAGTTCTGTGTTGCTGATGATGAGACACGTTCTCAAAGCGATGCTCTGATGTCCAAGTTAACAAATGTGTTTGCGACAAGACTGATTTATAATTGAAAACTGTCAGTGATAATCAAAGAGAACTAGGTGGATGTTACTGTGAACAGAGGCAGCCAGCTGGTGGATGTTACTGTGGGGCAAATATAATAATAATAATAATGATAATCCTTGCATTTGATAGCACCTGATCACGTCTTTGAGACATCTCAAAGTGCTTTACAGAATATGCAGAAAAAAGTGAATTGTATATTTTGTGGGCAAATCGCGGCAGCCAATTGTACACAGCAGTGTCCCATAAACAATCGTTTGAATGACCAAATTATTATTGTTATTATTTTTTAAAAGGGTTTATTAACCCCGAAAAAGCGATCTGGCAATCAACTAACAACCGGGTTTCTACTTACTGCTAGGTAAAACAGAGGTGTGTGGAGTAAGGAAATTTGCCCAACGTTTCATCCTGCCCAGGAATCGAACAAAAAAATGTGATCAGCGAGGGGCCAATAGTGAATTCTTGCATTTGATATACTGCCTTAGCACATTGTTGAGAAGTCTCAAAGAGTTTCACAGGATTTACTGAATAATGTAGCGACTATATTGTGTAGGCGAATGTGGAAGCCAATTTACACAGTTAACCAGGACACAGGGACAAACACTGGGATAACCTCCCTTATCTTTTTGAATAGTGCCATGGGATCTTTAGTGTCTGCTTGAACAGGCAGATAGGACCTCGGTTCAAAGCCTCATCCAAAGGAAGACACCTTTGACAATGCAGCATTTCCTCAGCACTGCACAGGAGTGTCAGCCTATAGACTGAGTTCAAAGTCCTGACCTAGAAAACAACAACAACAAAATTACATTTGTATAGCGGCTTTCACGTCGGGAGGATGTCCCAAGGGAGAGTTCTAACAACTGCCCCCGACTGGGCATGAGGCTAGTCAGTGAAAAGCTACAGGGTGACAGGTTTGGGCCTGTAGCGTTGGGAGATGGTGGAAGATAGCGACAAAACTTATTGACTTCACACTGCCTCACAATAAAATGCTTCCTTTTTCATTTCGGGGACAGCAGGTCTATTGCAGTTCATAAATTCTATTGTTGAACCATTGGGTAAACGTAACTCGGGAGACAGCGCCAAATAAATGACATTTATGGCAATAACAACAACAACAACAACAAGATTCCATTTATAAAGTGCCTTTCATGTCAGGAGGACGTCCCAAGGCGCTGCACAGTTGGGTCAGGACCCGAGCATTGGGGAAATGGTCAGGGTGAGGGGAGGGAAGGGAGGGAGCGAGGAGGGGGAAGAGAGTCGAGAGGGGAGCTGAAGGCTCGGTCAAAGAGAAAGGTTTTGAGACTGGCCTTGAAGGAGGAAAGGGAGGAGGCGGCGAAGGCACTGGTGGGATGGAGTTCCAGAGCCTCGGGGCTGAGAGGCTGAAGGCCCGACCACCGATGGTAGGGCGGTTGGGGCGGGGGATGTGGAGCAGACCGGAGCCGGAGGAACGGAGGGTACGGGCAGGTAGGTAGGGGGATAGTAGGTCAGAGAGGTAAGAGGGAGCGAGGCCGTGAATGGCCTTGTAGGTGAGGATGAGGATCTTGAATTCGATCCTCTGGGGGATGGGGAGCCAGTGGAGGCGAGCGAGGGTGGGAGTGATGTGGTCACGAAGCCTGGTGCGGGACAGTACACGAGCTGCAGAGTTCTGGATGACCTGCAGCTTGTGGAGGGAGGTGCCGGGAAGGCCGGCGAGGAGAGAGTTCCCAGCCTTGAGGTGGCATGGACCAGAGTTTCAGCAGCGTGAGGGGTGAGGTAGTGCCGTAGTCTGGCGATGTTCCGGAGGTGATGGAAGGAGCTTAAAGAATTATGTGAACTCTGAGAAGCTGATTGGACTCACTGACCAGAATTTGAGACAACAGCAAATTGGCAATCTCTCTGAGAGAGGCCACAGGATAGTTATTGTGGAAACTGGAACATTTGTATTGGTCTCTATCACACTCTACTTCGGAATGGGGAGAAACCATACCTTAAGAAGTAGTTTACATTTTAAATAACTTATCTGGTCAATGGGGAGTTAGCTGAAATGCTCAGTTTCCCAGCCAAAAAGTGCTTGCTCCAAAAGTCCGCTAAACCCATTGAATGGATAATACTTTCCTATTAAAGCACATATGCAGTTTATTTAGACACTTCTGCATTTTAATGGTGATTTTTAGTTTTTGTAAAGAGCCAGGTACGGTCAGTAATAGGTTGATGCCATTGCAACATTGGGATGAAAGTACGGCCTTTTACGGCGGTTCTTGGGGGGAATTATGACAAGGAACACATTTTCCCCCTTCTTTTTATTTGGTTGTTACTGTGCTGGCAAGTTAGCTTTCTCTATTCAGTGACCATGTCATTGTATTTTGTTATGGAGCTATCGAAGAACGACCTGTTCATTATTGAACTTTTTTTTAAAAACAGACTTTGGAAATCTTTGGATATAAATTGTATTACTTTTTTTATTGTGTTATTTAATGTGAATAGCAGGACTTCAAATAAAAGTTAAAGCTCACCACTGTGGGACCTGGAAGGGCAGACCAGTCACTGGGGGCCGAGAGTCATCCAACTCAGTTCCTCTTAACCCTGTAAGTTTTAATGGGTTGGGCAGACTTAGCTGAACAAGCGGTGTGAAAGCTTCCCAGTCAGCGATATCAATGGCAAGTCACACTGTTTTAGCTGATTAGACTCCAGCAGTTCCCCGAGGCACACTCTGGGGTCCCCAAGCCTTGGCTCTTGCCAACCTGCGCCCAATACTCTCCGGAATTAGGTGAGCAGGATGTGTCCCTCCAGGGAGAGTGCGGATTCCATTCCAACAATCTATCTCTGGGATTTCTATGTGTATGTGGGATGCACGGAAATCTCAGCTTGGCTCGGATACTAGTCAGCACGGGTGATGGGTTTCCGCACGTGTCAGACACTCGGACGACCAAACATAAATTGTCGCAAACAAAGTATTTTGGGGAGAAATTCCAGAACAAATCAAAGTTTTGCCTCAGATGGACAACCCCCTAAATGAATAATATTTTTTTGCCACAACACCCCTTTATTTTAACATCTGTGAGCTGTGTGTATGAGTGAGTGAGTGTATGAGTGAGTGAATGAGTGAGTGAGTGGGTGAGTGAATGAGTGAGTGAGTGAGTGAGTGAGTGAGTGAATGTCTGAGTGCGTGAGTTTGTGAGTGAGTGTGTGAGTGAGTTTGTGAGTGTGTGAGTGAATTTGTGAGTGAATGAGTGAATGCATGAGTGAGTGAGTGAGTGAGTGAGTGAGTGAGTTTTTGAGTGAGCGAGGGAATGAGTGAGTGAGTGAGTGAGTTTGTGAGTGAGTTTGTGAGTGAGTGAGTGAGTGAGAGTGTGAGTGAGTTTGTGAGTGAGCGAGTGAGTTTGTGAGTGAGTGAATGAGTGAGTTTGTGAGTGAGTTTGTGAGTGAGTGTGTGAGTGAGTTTGTGAGTGAGAGTGTGAGTGAGTTTGTGAGTGTGTGAGTGAATTTGTGAGTGAGTGAATGAGTGAGTTTGTGAGTGAGTTTGTGAGTTTGTGAGTGTGTGAGTGAGTGAGTGAGTGAGTGAGTGAGCAAGCGAGCGAGTTTGTGAGTGAGTGAGTGAGCGAGTGGGGAAAAAAAAAACCCTCAAGTTATAACACTGCGACAGGTCCAGAGAAACTGAGGTAAATTGAACCCAACCGAGAACTGCAGCAGTGAGTGGGGAACATGTGGAGAGCCGCAACATTGTGCCTTTGTGGAAACGGAACCTTCTTCGGAGCCACTGAACTGCAACTGAACTGTTCCGGAGCTGCAAACTCCGCTCTTGTGAGTTGTCACAGTGTGAGTGTGAGGGCTGAGGCTGAGGTGGAGTGGGGCTTCTCTTCCGCACCGAACGCTCCTCTGCACAGGATTGGGGGAGGGGGGAGGGGGGGCGGCCCCGGGGGAGGGGCTCGGGGGGGAGGGGGGCGGGCTCGGGGGGGAGGGGCGGGGCTCGGGGGGAGGGGCGGGGCTCGGGGGGAGGGGGAGGGGGTTTGTGGGGGGAGTCGCTCCGCAGCTCTGTGTATAAAAGCCACAAGTTTTTTTTTTGGCTGAGAAACTCCACCGAGTCCCTGCGCCGCTCTCGGGCCGCACCGACCCTCAGCCACAGACCCGCCCCGCACTGCACCGCACCGCCCCGCACTGCCCCGCACTGCCTGTGGGATCCCCCCCCCCCCCCCCCCGTGCACCTTCACCGCTCTCCGCGGCTGCTATGCGCCTCATCCAGAACATGTCCACTATCCAGGAATACTCCCAGGAATACCCTTCCGGGCGGGTGGTGAAGATCGCGGTGATCGGCGGCAGCGCTGTGGGCAAAACCGGTAAGAAATACACCCGAGAGCTGCAGTCACTGCCACTGCCGCTCCGCACCGCACTGCACCGCACCGCTCCGCACCGCACCGCTCAGCACCGCACCGATCAGCACCGCTCAGCACCGCACCGCACCGCACCGCCCCGCGGGCACTGCCCGGACACCGGGGGCACAGCGACTGCACAGCCAGAGGAGAGTCTGCAGTGAAGCTCACACTGTCCCGCCCCCGGGAGCCAGTGCCCGGGGCCAGTGTACCAGTGCCCGGGGCTCAGTGCCCGGGGCCAGTGTACCAGTGTCCGGGGCTCAGGGCTCAGTGTCCGGGGCTCAGGGCTCAGTGTCCGGGGCTCAGGGCTCAGGGCTCAGGGCTCAGGGCTCAGTGTCCGGGGCTCAGGGCTCAGTGTCCGGGGCTCAGGGCTCAGTGTCCGGGGCTCAGGGCTCAGGGCTCAGGGCTCAGTGTCCGGGGCTCAGGGCTCAGGGTCCGGGGCTCAGGGCTCAGTGTCCGGGGCTCAGGGCTCAGGGCTCAGGGCTCAGGGCTCAGTGTCCGGGGCTCAGGGCTCAGTGTCCGGGGCTCAGGGCTCAGTGTCCGGGGCTCAGGGCTCAGTGTCCGGGGCTCAGGGCTCAGGGCTCAGGGCTCAGGGCTCAGTGTCCGGGCTCAGGGCTCAGTGTCCGGGGCTCAGGGCTCAGTGTCCGGGGCTCAGGGCTCAGGGCTCAGTGTCCGGGGCTCAGGGCTCAGTGTCCGGGGCTCAGGGCTCAGGGCTCAGGGCTCAGTGTCCGGGGCTCAGGGCTCAGTGTCCGGGGCTCAGGGCTCAGTGTCCGGGCTCAGGGCTCAGTGTCCGGGGCTCAGGGCTCAGGGCTCAGGGCTCAGTGTCCGGGGCTCAGGGCTCAGGGCTCAGGGTCCGGGGCTCAGGGCTCAGTGTCCGGGGCTCAGGGCTCAGGGCTCAGGGCTCAGGGCTCAGTGTCCGGGGCTCAGGGCTCAGTGTCCGGGGCTCAGGGCTCAGTGTCCGGGCTCAGGGCTCAGTGTCCGGGGCTCAGGGCTCAGGGCTCAGGGCTCAGTGTCCGGGCTCAGGGCTCAGTGTCCGGGGCTCAGGGCTCAGTGCTCAGGGCTCAGGGCTCAGGGCTCAGGGCTCAGTGTCCGGGGCTCAGGGCTCAGTGTCCGGGGCTCAGGGCTCAGCGCGTGTTGGTTTCATGGGGTGAAAGCGCTTCTCATTGTGTACAACAGAGCCTCAGTGACTGTCCCGAGACCCCTCCAGACACCCCCCCCCCCCAGACACCCCCCCCAGACACCCCCCCCCCAGACACCCCCCCCAGACACCCCCCCCCAGGCACACCCCCCCCCAGACACCCCCCCCCAGACACCCCACCCCAGACACCCCCCCCCAGACACCCCCCCCAGACACCCCCTCCAGACACCCCCTCCGACCCCCCCCAGACCCCCCCCCAGACACCCCCCCAGACACCCCCCAAAGACACCCCCCCCCAGCACCCAGACACCCACCCCCAGCACCCAGACAACCACCCCAGCACCCAGACACCCCCCCAGCACCCAGACACCCCACCCCAGCACCCAGACACCCCACCCCAGCACCCAGACACCCCACCCCAGCACCCAGACACCCCCCCAGCACCCAGACACCCCCCCAGCACCCAGACACCCCCCCCCAGCACCCAGACACCCCCCCAGCACCCAGACACCCCCCCCAGCACCCAGACACCCCCCCCAGCACCCAGACACCCCCCCCCAGCACCCAGACACCCCCCCCAGCACCCAGACACCGCCCCCCAGCACCCAGACACCCCCCACCAGCACCCAGACACCCACCCACCAGAACCCAGACACCCAGCCAGACACCTAGCCAGCCAGCCACCCACATACGCACCAGCACCCAGCCACCCTCCCAGCCACCCACACAACCAACCACCTAGACACCCAACCACCCAGCCAGCCACCCACCCAGCCAGCCAGACACCCAGCCAGCCGGACACCCACCCAGCCAGACACCCAGACAGCCAGACACCCAGCCAGCTAGACACCCACTCAGCCAGCCAGACACCCACCCGGCTAGCCAGACACCCACCCAGCTAGCCAGCCAGCTAGCCAGACAGCCAGCCAACCAGACACCCAGGCACCCAGACACCCAGCCAGCTAGCCAGCCAGACACACAGCCAGCCAGACACCCACCCAGCCAACCAGCCAGACACCCAGTCAGCTAGCCAGACAGACAGACACCCAGCCAGCCAGACACCCAGCCAGCCAGCCAGCCAGACACCCAGCCAGCCAGACACCCAGCCAGCCAGACACCCAGCCAGCCAGACACCCAGCCAGCCAGACACCCACCCAGCCAGACACCCACCCAGCCAGCCAGCCAGACACCCAGCCAGCCACCCAGCCAGCCAGCCAGACACCCAGCCAGCCAGACACCCACCCAGCCAGCCAGTCACCCAGCCAGCCAGTCACCCAGCCAGCCAGTCACCCAGCCAGCCAGTCACCCAGCCAGCCAGTCACCCAGCCAGCCAGTCACCCACCCAGCCAGCCAGTCACCCAGCCAGCCAGCCAGCCAGCCAGCCAGTCACCCAGCCAGCCAGCCAGCCAGACACCCAGCCAGCCAGACACCCAGCCAGCCAGTCACCCAGCCAGCCAGTCACCCACCCAGCCAGACACCCACCCAGCCAGCCAGCCACCCAGCCAGCCAGACACCCAGCCAGCCAGACACCCAGCCAGCCAGACACCCAGCCAGCCAGACACCCAGCCAGCCAGACACCCAGCCAGCCAGACACCCAGCCAGCCAGTCACCCACCCAGCCAGCCAGTCACCCAGCCAGCCAGTCACCCAGCCAGCCAGACACCCAGCCAGCCAGCCAGCCAGCCAGCCAGACACCCAGCCAGCCAGACACCCACCCAGCCAGCCAGTCACCCACCCACCCAGCCAGCCAGTCACCCACCCAGCCAGCCAGTCACCCAGCCAGCCAGCCAGTCACCCAGCCAGCCAGTCACCCAGCCAGCCAGCCAGTCACCCAGCCAGTCACCCAGCCAGCCAGTCACCCAGCCAGCCAGTCACCCAGCCAGCCAGACACCCAGCCAGCCAGCCAGTCACCCAGCCAGCCAGCCAGTCACCCAGCCAGCCAGCCAGCCAGCCAGCCAGTCACCCAGCCAGCCAGACACCGAGACAGCCAGCCACCCAGCCAGATAGCCAGCCAGCCACACACCCAGACGGACACACATCCAGACAGACACACATCCAGACAGACAGATAGACACATGCACACCCAGAAGGACACACATCCAGACAGACAGACTCGGAGACTATCACGGAAATAGTTTGTGCCCCGAGAAGCTCTCCCTGGGCTTCAAGATGATACCACACAAACTGCTTTTGTTCTGGCTGATGGCAGCGAATGTCTTTGTGTGCGCGCGTCTGCCCTCCGTCTGCGTGCGCGGTGCGCGTCTGCCCCCCGTCTGCGTGCGCGCCATGCGTCTGCCTCCCCCCCCCCCCCCGTCTCTGTCTGTACGTGCACGTGTGTGTGGGTCTGCCCCCCCAGTGTGTGTGTGGGTGTGTGTGGTGTTTGTGTCCATCTCTCATTCTCCTCTCACTTTGTTTTCCAGCTCTAGTAGTTCGGTTCCTAACCAGAAGGTTCATCGGAGACTACGAAAGGAATGCAGGTGAGTGTGCTGGGTTCACATCAATTATATTTTTTGTTTTCTAAACTAAATAGAAAGTTATGCTATGAAGTTTAATTCTAGGAGCTGCAGAGTGATTTAAAAACAAATTAAATTCTGGATTGGTCTTCTCTAGAAACTGAGATGGTTGCTTTTTTCAGGTACCCTGTACTCGAGGCAAGTCCAAGTGGATCGAGAACAACTTGCGATACAAGTTCAGGATACTCCTGGTGTTCAGGTGAGATTTTCAGCAATGTTTTGTAGTGTCTTTTTGGCTGGGAGGATCTGATCATTTCCCCCCCCACACCACCTCCTGCTTCCTCCAACAATTGGTGTCTTTAGGGCAGGAGTACACCAGGATTCTAGTCTGAAGTTTTAAAAAGTTTTTATGGTAGATTTTGATGTGTAAAAATTCTGATGCTGTTGTACATTTTTTGCTGGGTGTGCTATGGAGAATCCTCAAATGGTTGCACTAAGCCCACGAATGCATTGATGTAAAAAAAAATCATGGGTTGGGATTTTGTTCCGTGCACATGTGAAGCGAAGCCTTTGGAGCTTGTTAATTAAAGTAACGGAGGCTGGGAGCTGGGCCTGAATATTATGACTTTGCTTCTGACATTGGCTCTCTTACAAGTGGACAAAATTTACTGGCCGGTCAGGCTCTGTGCATTGTTGACAGAGTGCAGCTGTTGGAAGATCTGCACTGCAGAAATGATGTAAAGTGGCCCAATGTCTATCAAATGATTTTAACAAAATTAACTCATTGACGATGCCACAATTTTTTTTTTGGTCAGCCGGATGTCTGACATATGCTGAAACCCATGGTCCAGAGCATCCAAACCACAGCTTACATAATTGCAACGAAGTTTTGTGTGCGGTTTCTGTGACTAGCTTTACTGCCTGATAACGGTGCAACTCTAATGGGCTCTATCTCTTTGTTTTGACTCTATCGTAGTCTCTTGAAACGCTAGTATTCAATTTGAACGTGTTGAATTTTTGTTGAAAAAAAANGTTGGACACATGTGGTGAAGTTGTACATTTTGAAGTTATGACTTCAAAACTTGCCCACAAACTTGTGCACCACTGATATTCGGGATATCCGTACCCATTCTAAGAGTGACATGTATTGACTTTCTTCACTTACTGTTAAGAGCAGGCAGTTTGGAGGACAGGGACTCTGGGTAGTTGCTGAACCAGTTGGTGTGCTTCAGTAGATGCAGCGACATTCCTAAATCTTACTCCGCTATTGTCCGAGCTGTGGGAAGTTCTACAGTTACAGGCTCCATTAATCTGAATTTTGTGGTGGGCGTTTGGGCACAAGTTGAGTGAATATGTTTGCACTTGCTAGAATTGTCTACAACTACAGTGACAACACTTCACATTAAAATCGTGTGCAATGTGATGTCACTATATCAAAAAATAAGGATTATTGTATTAAAGTGCAGTAAAAACACAATTACTATGTCAAATATTGTAACTCCACGTAGTTGTTCGACCTGACCCTACAATAATAGAATCGATGAATTGTGTTTTCTCTTAAGTTTAATGGTTTTTCAGTGGTTATTTCTTAGGGAACGTGGTTGTCTTTCTTCCCCTCACACCCCCACCTGCATGCTTTAGCAATGTCAGTGTAGTATAACTAGATAAACATGACATGGATTTAGTATGGAGTTCTTGTGGTGCTTAACTATTTGATATCTTTTTGATAAATTTGTGCAACAATTTTTACAAAGAAATGATGAATGTTTGCTTTTGATATCCTGAAAATGGTGTTCTTCAAATATTCTTGGGGGGAGTGGGGTGGGTATAAATGTCAGATTTGTGCTTATTGAAATATCTATTTGTTAAGATTGCTACTCAAACTTTCCATTGGCATTTTGAGTACAAGTTAACAGCCTATGTATGATTTCTATGGCCTTATAATAATAATCCTTGCATTTGATATAGCGCCTTATTGTGCCTTCACAATGTCTCAAAGTGCTTCACAGAATATACTGTAAAGTGAATTGACTGTATATTTTGGGGGAAGTAATTCATAATGTCCTCCAAGTAACGTGCACTGATGCTGTTACTGAGAGTAGTTTATAATTGGATTTTATGGTTCTGTGCAGTCCTGTCTATTCATGATTTCAGCTGTTTATACTATTGGTTATTTTTAAACCGTCTGCTGACCATTTAGGGTGCTTACACAAAAGCACTATTATCCAAGACTAGAGTTTGTTTAAATGATCAAAACAAATATTGTAACGGAACTGAATGGGCAGGTTTCCAACACTTATCCCACTCGGCTGTATTTGGACTAAGCAGTATAGTATGTCTAGCCAAATATTTCCCAACAAGAGAAACTACCGGTTCAGACTTCAGCAGCCTGTCTGGGTCTGGTACTTTTGCTTAAGCACAGCATATATGAGTTTTTTTTCCCCTGCCTTCCATGATTATACAGCTGAATCAACATGGCTCTGCAAAAGTAAGACCATTATGTAGTTCAGATACAATCAAGTCATATAGTGGTGTAACCCAGCCAATATTCAGATAACCAGCTCTTTGTTTTGTATATCTTATAAGATCTGTTAACTTTTATCTACAATATGATGCAGGGGAACCCTGCTATGACTTATAGTGCCTGTGGACCTGTGATAATTGGACTATACCCAGCTTGCAGCGCTAACCAGCTGATTTCTCATGCTAAATGGTTGACTATAATTCCTATTCATGGCAGGCAACGTAAAGTCGGCAGCAACCTGAAAGTTGGCTATTTTTAACGCTTTGGTCATAACGTGGCCTTTTGGGTAGGATCTTGTTTCCAACCTATCCCTGAACTTAACTTGGACTGAAAGCCAAGTGAATAATGAAATAGTGATTTTATTTTGCGGGGTGGGGAGGGTCCAAAAGCAGGAAATAATTTATTATGTTTCATTATCACTGATCATTTCAAGGATTATTATTACGTCTGCTATCAACTCTACTACTTGTTCCTTTTGGTATTTATTTTTGGATGTAATAGTTTTATTTCCTCTTGTGATTATAATTCCTTGACTTTGCATTTCCAGATAAATGGACAGAGTTTGAGCTGCAGCGACCTTAACCGATCCATACAGTGGGCTGATGCCATCGTCCTGGTCTATTCAATCACAGACTATAAAAGCTATGAACTGATCAGTCACCTCCACCAGTATGTCTGCCGTGCACATCCAGACAACCGAGTTCCTGTTGTCATTGTAGGGAATAAAGCTGATCTACTTCATGCTAAACAAGTTGAAACTCACCACGGTCTACAACTGGCAAACCTATTAGGCTGCACCTTTTATGAAGTGTCTGCCAGTGAGAACTATAATGATGTATACAATGCTTTCCATGTCTTATGCAAAGAAATTAGTAAACAGCAAATGAGCAGCAATGCTGAGAAGAGGAAGACCATCATACCCAGGCCAAAGTCCCCCAACATGCTAGATTTAAGGAGACGCTTCAAGCAAGCTCTTTCTGCCAAAGTGCGGACTGCAACATCTGTTTGAGATGACCTGAAGAGACTGTGATTGAAATACAAAATAATGCAGTGCTTCAACATAAAGACTGATGCAACCTAAAATGATGAGTGTGAACATCTGGAAGGCTATGTTGGGAAGCTGCTTGACCATAGGAAGTGCAAAAGACTGTATTCAGCCAGATGGTTCTTTGATCCCTTGCTCAAGTAGTTGATTTAACATTTGCTGCTTCAGTGAGCCTAGCTTTACAGACTGTAGTTGGAGCAGACTATTCTATGGAACAGTCAGAAGCACTCTGAGAAGGCCCGATCGGTTTATTGAAAGTTTTTTTTGTACAATAATTTTTGAAAGATGTGTAGTGGTGACGGCTAGCCAATTGGGAGAAATCCTAAATACTTTAAAATGGCTACTGGGTAGCTTGTTCTGGTCTTTAGTATGTGGGGAAACTGCCTTGATGTTTTTTAATATAAAAATGCTTCAGACTTCCCCTTTGCTGAAATAATAGCAGCTGTATGACATCTTTGCAATGTGCCTCTGACTTTTTAGATCCCAATAGGCACCCGCAAAATGAAAGTATTTTTAAAATACTAGATTTGTAGTTCCCAATCTAAAATGTTTTGTAGTGGGTGGGTGGGGAGGAAGGTAGGCAAGTAAACGGGACTGAATGGTTTGCTATTTTAAAGAGACAGCACAGATACAATGAGCTGAAGGGTCTTCTGTACTGTAAAATTCTGTTTTTTTTCTTGATTAAACCACGTAGTTTATTATCTGCACACTCTATTTGCACTCTAATGCAACTGATCTTAACATGCAAATTGTTGAGCAACAACTTGTCCCCTCCTCCCCATTCTTTGTCAAGCTTTTTAGCTTTGTGAAGAATTAATCATCATGTGAAATTGTATTATTTTTCTCTTTTTCCTCAGCCCCACCCCCCCCCACCCCCTTTTTCTATGCATCCTCCAATAAAATATTTGCCCACAGCTGGCTAAATAAAACCAGGCAGTAGTTGTAATGCCAGGACATTTGTCCAATGAGGCATTTGAACTGAGTGGAGCTGATATCCGACATCAGCCTTGTGGCTTTTCTCCTGTGTTCGGTCCGAAGGGGATAGAAACTCCCCTCTAAATGCACTTTATGAAAGCCACGGTGCTTTTGGTTTGATCGGTTTACAATGATCTTTCTCCAAAGGAAGATGCCCTTTGTACAATTTGACAAATAAAACCATTTAAATTGTATGTTTTTCTGTTATCAAATGGCTTTTATTCAATTTTTTTAACTTGATGCTTCATTTTATCTGTCAATGTTCTGCCATTTTTCACCACTCTGATTTTTCCGAGAATGACTTCTAGGATTGGGACATGCACTGGAATTTTCCCTGAATGAGTTCGGATTCACCTTTCCCCCCCTGGGCAGTGAACTTGCAATTAGGATTGGGAAACATTGTGATTCCATTTATCAATCATGAATTTAGCAACTTGCAAGAAATATGAATGTTCTTAGATACAATTAGTCCATGAAGTGGTGCAATTCAAGTCAATAGTGCCAGTGTTCTCACGTGATTAGGAACATTTGCAGGGCTATAGGGTAAGAGTGGTTGAGTGGGACTAGTTGGTATCTCTTTCAAAGAGTTGGCATAGGCTGAATGGCCTCCTGTGCTGTAAACTTCTATGATTTGACATAGCATTCAATAAGTCACATGTGTTGTTTCACTAACTTTGTTTGTGTGAATGGTACTGCTTGTAAAATAGCTAGTTGTCCTCAACTAATAGAAAGCTACTTAATACATTGTCTTCAGTACAATTTCAAACCAATTCTCTTCAAGAATGGGCTGCTGGTTAAAGCCGGCTTCTAGTCAAATAGAACCACATTAGAGTTCCTGCAACCTTTCCCCCGCCCCACCCAAGAACACTCAATTTGTAAAAAATTCCAAAATATTTTTGGTTTTTCAACAGGCTTTAGATGCATAGTTAAGGTATAGGTATCAGAAAATGCCTAGTGAATTTGCAGGAGTTACTGAATTAAGACGGAAGCCAATTTAACACACTTTATTAAAATTAAGGCAGTCAGGGATTGATCACATTGGCATGGTAAATAACATCTTTGTACTCTAAATCATAGCCACTTCATTCATTGCATTAGTTCACTGTATTTTCAGATACTTGTATTTCCACCAGTTCCTGAAAGTAAACTTGACCAGGTTTGATCTTCACAATTTTACACTTATTTTCCTCTGATGTTCACACCATTGCTATTTGCTGGGTACATATCTTGTTATATGACTTATGTCAGATCTGCATGATTCTTGAGTGGGAGAAGACTGTTGTGGAACTACGTGTATATACACTTGCTGTTGTGCCTTTAGGTTCTATTCATAAGGCAGTGATTATAGAAGACGAGTCTAGGATTATCAGTAACAGTGTTTCTTTTAGATATCTAGCTCCTGAGATTTTTTCACTGTTGTTGATATCCTCTGTAGTTGTACAGTTTGATTTGTGGGAAATGTAAAAGTAAATGGGTGCAGATGGCTTTGCCCAGGCTCACATCCTGGGGTTTAGTCGCTAGGTTCAACTGCCACTTGCACCTCTGCTTTCACAAATCAGTGATTTTTTTAAAGTTGAAAATGTAAAAAATAAATCTTGGAAATGTATAGCAGATTAATTAATCAAAACCTGAGGGGAGCATCATAATGTCAGACATGACTCTTTGTGAGGACTGAAGCAGTGGGCTGAACGTTGACTTAAAGATGAGCAGCAAAAAGGAGCAGCAAAAAGGAATCCACAAGTTTATCACATTACAAACTGTCTAGTCCAATGCAAAGTGGTATATAAAACAACCTGTCCAGCCTCTAGACAAGAGAAACAGAATAAGATAAGTTACGTCTTAACTGAATAAAATTATACTATACTCAATCCCCTCATTTATCTGCAAATAATCACTGCCTATAATTTCAGATTGTTTGAATTGTGATAAGATGCCAGATCAAATAATAATTCTTGCATTTGATATTTCATCACATCTTCAAGACATCTTAAAGCACTTCACAGAATATAGTGTAAAGTGAATTGATTGTATATTTTGTGGGTGAAATGCAAGAATTATTATTAATAATCAAGGTAGGACAGTGAAGAACACCACTGTAACTCAGTTTTGCTGCTCTTCTGTGAAGTGGGATTGCAAGGATGCAATGGCAGTTAGCTGCAACCGAAATGGTGGCTTGCAGAGGCTTCAACTGGCCTCAGATCAAACCATTTTACCAAGGTTTGGGGGGAATTTTCATCCCTAAATCTGTATAATTAAAGGGTGATTTGGATTGTTCTGTTCACCAATCTGATGTTGCATTATTTCACTTCATCTTCTGACCTTGCTCTGACCCAGGCATCATGATCTACATCACTTAACTACTTTGTGGTGTTTACAATTATTCAGAAAGAGGGGAACAAAATGAGAGGGCTTAAATTAATGGATGACATTGGAGACTGAAATCATTGTAACTGAGGAATTAAAAAAAAAGCTTTGTTTCATGTGGTGAAGACAATACTTGTGTCTGGAGTATCACATGTGGTGTCAGCATTCCTGGCGCGTCTTAAGAAATGTCCAGCTGCACCATGAATTGAAGGCTCAAGAGCAATCTTAAGGAATGTTACAAAAGGGTTTTGCTGAAATCACTACAAACCCACATAAAAAAGCTACAATCTTACTTAGTAAAGTTCCAGTTAATTTAATAATCTGCTTACTCTTTCCTCTCAGTTTATCATCTGAACACTTCAATTGCACTATTCATTCCATTCTCTGCGAGAAACATCAGAAATCACCACAGTCTAACCCAATTCACCTGGTCTCTAAAATAACCTAAATCTTTTGTTGATGAGTCTAATTTGATTACTATAAATGGAATTAACATATATTACAGAACACATTTCCCTGGTCTAAACTTCAGAAACCCTTCTGAAAATCTCTAATCTTATTTCAAATAACAGGCAGGTTGTCAGCTACTATACCTCAACTGAATAAAGCCGAGATTTTTTTAACCCTGCTTCACATGTAGGTGGAAGGTTTATGTTGATTTGGGACAGGAGTGACTTTTAGTGCACTATCTGATCAGCAGGTCTTAGGTAGTTCACAAAACTTCATCATGTTATTATTGCAGGATTAATAAAAAAGAATCAATTGGTGCTGGGAAGACTTTAGGTCTAGTATATTTCTAAAATTAAATGTGCATAACATCTCTCTCTGTGATGAACAGTATTTTAAGCCTTCAAAACTTTTTAGTGCAATTTTACTGTTTGAGTGCCAGTCTCCAAGGCCAGATTAAAGAGACACAACGGATGATATAGAAACAATGGTTTGGGGACAATGATGCTTTAGCACATACTCTAACATTAAGTGCACCTCATTTTGCAAAGTATCCCAGTCATGGTCTTCATTAAATGCATTCCCAGCCAGCCATTTAGCCGCATCTCTTGAGTTTTGGTATTCAGACACTCCTGGTGGTATCTTACAGCTGGTTAATTCACATTTCCACACAGTGATAACCTTGCTATACACCAATATCAGGATGGAGTCGATCAGTTGCAAAGAGAAGCTGAACCACATCGAGTGGTTGGAGAAGCCTGGTGGACATCACAATTACCTACAGGGAACAACATTTAAAAAGTTACCTCAGACTGTGGTCATCTAATAATTAATGAAACAACAGCAATTTACATTTCATTTTGAGAGGACGTTGCAAAGCGGTTCGCACAGTTGACAGGAAGCCTGAGTTGGGTGGAGGGAGGTGACTGAAAAAGTCTTTAAAAAGATAGGTTTAAGGTAGGGTTTGAAGGTGTGGAGAGAGGGAGGAGTGGGGCAACATGATAGAGTTTACTGTTATGTCTTGTAAATTCACAGTGGACAATAGGAATAATAAATAATTATTTTGCGATGCTTGACAAACAATTCAACACAGTTAAGTCAGAGTGCAATCTCACCTTTGGATCAAAAGGCTGCAGGTTTAAAGTCCCACTTTGGGACTTGAGCTCAGTCTAGGTTGATGCTGCAGTGCAATGCTGGGGAAGGATTTATGCCATTTTTCAATGACACACCAAACTGAGGTGCTTTCTCCCTATTTGGGTGGGTTTAAACACTCTATGTCACTATTTGAAAAAGGGAGCTTCTCCTGTGTCCTAGCAAACAATCCCCAGATCAACTGGACATTCATCTCAGATGTTTGCAGCACTTTTCTGTTCATAAGCTGGTATTTACTGCGTAGGGTAGTGTCATAACTGCTATGTAAAACTGTCACTACACTGAACAGTAATTCCTTATGAAGTTTCTGAAACACTTTGAAACTTGAGGCACTTCAATATATTTGGAGTTCTCTATTTTTCTAGTATGGCGACGTGCACTGATAAGCAGACCAGACACTTTTATCAGGGATACTTTAGGAATAGTGTCACCACTGGTATTGCTTTGTTTACAATATCAAAACCACTAATACATTTACCAGTTTGTTTAATCCGGCTCTGTTTCCCATTGTTTTTTTGTTTGGAATGAGGAACAAACCCATTGGGTTTTAAACAGCTGTTGGAGGGCAAGGACAGTAAAGGGGATTAGGAGTTCCACAATTGTGTTTTATTATTATTATTAATAATCCTTACATTTGGTGTAGTGCCTTTCATGTCAGGAGGATGTCTAAAAGCACTTCAGTTTTTTTTTAAGATTTTGAAACTAGGACAAATTACTTGAAACCAACAGAGCAAGACAGCTGAAATGAAGCCAGTAGATTTAGTCACTAACTCAGTGCTTAAGAGCCTTGCAATGATTCACCACTTAGATCCTTAAAAACTTTAATCGGTTTTCTCCAGTGTAAACATTCTCAGTTTCCTTCATCTCTCTTCATGCATACTGCCTGCTATTAGTATTATTTTGCAAAAGAGGTTCTGTGGTGAGATTCCCTTTAATCATCATTTAGAGTCTACAACAGCAGATTCTCCACCAGAATTTGTAGCAAGGACCAGCAATACAAATGCCATAAACCAGAGTATGCATAGTGCTTGGTTACTATTAATATCAATGATAATCCTTGGATTTGATGTAGTGTCTTATCATGTCTCAAGACATCTCAAAGTACTTCAAAGAATATACTGTAAAGTGAATTGACTAAATTTTGTGGGCGAAATGCAGCAGCCAATTGTGCACAGCAGTGTCCCACAAACAGTCGTGGATTGATGCTAAAAACACTTTGATCCAACCCATATTCAGTGCAAAGGAGAATTCAAGTCACAATAAGCTGAATAATGTGATCAACTTGTCAGTTGTTGTGCAGCTTTCCTTTTTCTTTTGTTTTTTATTGTAAGGCAACAAAATCAAATTGGCTGAATCATTTCCATTTATTTCCTTTCCAATTACTTCAAAGGCAGGCTTGGGAAACACACAATATGGACACAAAATTATGTTATTGTTGATCACTCTCTGCTTCTTCTGGATAAGTGTAAGAAGGTGCAATGCTGTTGTACAATGCTGTCTTTAGAGTATAATATTCCCTGGATGGTAGTCATTTCCACTTACAGGGGATATGTGGGTGGAGGAGGAGGGAGAGAAATATAGCCTTGAGGTGTAAATTATTCTTTAAAATATTCGAGCACAGAGATACATAGAGAACAATGCTTATTACTGACATTAATATGCTTTGCTGTGGTTTAATAAGAGCTGGAAATTAATTTAGGGCGTTAAAATTCCCAATTTGTTTGAATGAAATAAAGACATTCAATTCATGCCTCACATGAATCACAGTGCATCACAGTGGTATCGTGTTACAAACTTTGAATAAAAAGGACAACGGTAGCTGGATCCTGAGGGCATAGATGTACGTGACCCAAGTGGTGCTTGCTGATCTTAAAACTGATTTCTGCAGGAGAAATGTTTTGAAGATCTCAGTTGTTCCAAAGATTTTGAGGCATGCTGCCCTACGGCGTGCCTTGTAATTTGAGGAAAGGCTAAACAAAGCCATCCCAACAGTACACTCTAGATAAACCTATAATTAGTTCAGCGGTTAATAAACACACTGACAAGTTCATCAATCTGAAAAAGTGCGGCTTACTACAGAATTGACTAATACATAGGATGTTTTTCAACAAAAATAATTTCCTTTGTTCATTGTATATAATTTGTATTCCTTTTTTTAAATCAATTTCTTACAATTCTTGAATTGCTAAATGAAAGTCCTCAGCGATACCAGGTTTGGAAACAGAAGTACCCAATGTCCCAACTGGCTTGACATTAAAGCTTAAAATGTTTCTAAAATCATATTTGCCCCAAATTTCAAAAACATAAGGAAACTGGTATAAACCCAGAAATAAATAACACATAGCAATACTGCTGAAGCCTGTTTCTGCTTGTGTCGATCCTGTGAGAGCTGCACAGGAGCCTGTAAGCCTAGTAAATAGAGATGCCTGATCAGAGCCAGAGAGAGCCTGGTAGACATAGACGTGGATCGGGTAGGAAGAAATTCTGTGAGGCTGGTAGACAAAGACAGCTAGCTTTGAGAGAGGAGATGCTGCAAGGTTAAAGTTAGGGGCTGTGTTGGGCAACTGAGGCATCACTTGGTATGGATGAAGCTGAGGAGGTGCAGTGTCATAGAATTTGAACCTTGCATTGTACCTGAGAGGGAAGGGGGTGAAAGATGGATGATATAAAAGCTGTAAGCCAATCTACTGCCAGTCTCTTTCCCCAGAGACTGGATCAAAGGAGAACACTGCAAATCTCGAGAGAAAAAAGGCAGTCTGAGGCCAGATGGGGTATATTGTGGAGAGGGGGCCCTGGCTATTGAATGTGGGCACTGAGAGACTATGGAAGTGTGATACTGTTAGCCGGTGGGTACCATGAGGGGACAATGACCATGAATTAGGTGCCTGGACCTCTCTGGGACTGTGAGAGGCACTGAGTGCTGGCGTCCCTGCTAGGGCTCTGAAAGGGCAGTGAAGTTTTCCTCCTGTATATATAAACCAGTGATTGGTAAACAAAATCTGTCTACGTGTGTGCAGTGTCTATATTTTGTACAATCGGAAACAACAACGACAAAGATAATATCTGCTAACTGGAGAGAAAGATAAGGAGAAGTTATGCTGGAGGGTGTCAGAGATTCTCATCGCCTCTCCACACATCATCCATATTTGTTCAGCAAGTGATAGTTTAGCAAAACAGAATCTAAATAACTGGCATTTTTATTGAATAACTGAATAGATGAACTGTGTAAAAGTTGTTTTACTGAATTTATAGTGTGGGGCAAAGGCATGGGGGGGATGGGACGGTGGGGAAAAGGACCAGTGTTGGTGTTTAGGATTGAATGTGATGTTCTAAGACAATTGAGAGCTCTGCTCAGTCACCACATTCTCATCAGTCAGCATTCTGCTTTATGTGTAATGTTACTGTGAGAACAGGAATGCAAGTGCACTGTCAAAACGTCCAGCTACAATGTCTGAATTTTTCATTTGGGAATTGACCAAGGCATAAGATAGATATAGGATATATACAAAAAAACAGAAAGAAAGAACTTGCATCTTTAAACAGTAGTCTATTACCATTTTGCAACGTCTCATTGCACATCACAAGAAATTACCATCAGTACAGACTGTTTTTGTAGGCAAACGTGCAGCCAGCAAGTTTCCACAGACATTGTGTCAGAAACTTGGCCTACTGTATGCTGAATTTAATATATTAATGTAACAGTCCCTGGGGTCAATCTTTACAACCTGAGATTCCGAGAATACAGACAGAGAACAGAAAGGAAAATGGAATAAATAAGTCTGGTTCTGAGTATCTAAAAAAGGTGGAGTCTGAGCTGCAGTGTGTATTTAGTTTGCCATGTTGTTTTAGCTCTGTTTATTTAAATGCAGCCATTTATATAAAATACATTTACAAATCACAGATTTGTAGCCCAACAATTCCATTATTTACTCTACAGAAGAATGGTCAACACACCCTTCATCTGGAGTTTGAGAGGAGTATTAGGCTTAGTTATATAACCAGTTGTGTCCTTTTACTCTTTACAGTATTGCTGGTAAAGGCCCCTCTCAAAGGCTTTCTTGTGACTGCACATGATCCTGTTCCCTTCAAAAAAGAGACAATGGAGTATGTAAATACATGGAGAAAGCCAAGGCTAGTTAACATGAAGGCCATGCCCATAACAAAGGCAATGAAAAATGGGGAGACACGTCTTAACCTCCCTCAGCAAAACTACCAAGAGTTGAGTTAAATCTGCTATCTTGAGGAGGGGCAGGAATCAATTAGTTCTGTTGAAGAAACATGATTGTGAAATTCCAGAGTTACTAGTCTTATCCAATGAGTTCCCACTAGTTTATTTGGTGCCTTGTGAGCAGGAGGTTGATCCACAGCAGTGCGTGCTGTCACTGTTAATCATTTAGTGATCTAGGTTATATTCCTTTGCTTGTCCTTCAGGTCATCATCCAGTCTGGGCAATTTGATGTGATTTTGGGTCACCAGCTTAAATATTTTACATCAAATCGATCCAGTTATGGAGAATATCTGCTATAAGGAGCCGGAAGCTGGAAGTTTAATTCCTGTGGCACAATGAGTACAATATCTGTAATTTTACTCTTCACTTCTTCAAAAGCTTTAGCACTGTACCATACTCGTTGTGCTATTGAATCAATTCCACAAGAGATCAGAGCAGATCGACACCCAACTAAAAATCTTTGCATTTTGTAGGTTCAATCCTGATTAAAGATTAAGCAAACGAATGAGTACATAACAGAGATCTTGAAAGCCCAGCACAATACATTTCTGTTGTTGAGCTTGTTTTCTCTGATGAGACAGACATTAGGTAAAGATAAATGTGTTTGAAATCAATATTCTATCAAATTGGCTATAGATTGCAGACTGAGAATTGGGAAAGTCTCTCCAATACACATTCTGCACTTCAGAGTCACCAGACATCGATAGAGAATAATGCAATCAATCCAAAACGAGTTCCTGTTGCTTATTATAAGACCATGACCATACTGTCAGTATTCAAATAAAAGTGAATTTTCAGATGAAATACAGAGAAACTGTTTCATGGATCACCAGTATACAGTGATCATTTCATAACAGTTAAAGCACTAATAATTTCACTAGAAGCATGTGTTAAGAGATCACACGCTGACCGGTTGTTAAGACAAGTTTCATTGTATCTTCAGCTGGCAAATTAAATATTGTCCCTTGAAGCTTCTAGTATGTTAAATGTCACTATCTTTTATGCTGAAGTATTTAGCACAAAAGTCTGTCAAACACTCGACAGAATGAGGAGCAGTAACACTATCGCTAATGCTTTTCAACCCTGTGTCACATTGAAGTCACGTAAGATGACTCCGGTTCAGGCTGGGCTTTATATATATCAATCTCTGTAGTATTGTGTCAGTAGATGTTGTAAATACTAGGCACCACAGAAGATGTTTAGAAAGGGTTGTTGTAGTTTAATGTGAGACTCATTTTAAGAAACGCTCAAGTAAGATGCACAGTGTTGATTTATCACATTATGCTGACATAGAAAAGCTATTTACCTGGCAACTGGGCTTGTGCAATGAGACCAACTCCTTTATCATTCGAACCTCTGAGGCTGTGACCCCACCCACCACAAACAGGATTAGTAGAGGGTGGTCACTGGGGTGTGGACGGCTCACCTGTCAGGTCAACACACAACAGTAAAGTTTAGAGCGACTAGTCTTCCACAGGACATGTTACAGTTCCTTCTCAAGATATGACTTACAGTGTTGCAACAATGATATCTGTTATTTTTTAAGACGTTTGTGGGATTTCTCAGCGAGAGCCTAATTCACTGCACAGATGTTTGGATCCATTCTGCTGTAACGAGGATCTCAGTAACACTATCAGTTAAACAATACACAATACACAGTTGATGCAGATAACAACAACAAATTACATTTGTACAGAGCGGGAGTGCGTCCCAAAGTGCTGGAGAAAGATAAAAGATGAACACAAAAACAATCTGATGACAGGTGGCTGAACTAAATCTGTCATAGCATTTTCTGTGTCATTAGCAGTCTACACTTTTAAGATCACTCTTTTTTTCTTTGTGCTTCCACCCGGTCATCTGCGGGGTACCCCAAGGATCCATCCTTGGCCCACTTCTCTTCGTCATCTATATGCTCCCACTCGGTGATGTCATTCGCAGACTTCCACGTGTATGCGGATGACACTCAACTCTACATTTCCACCGCCAGCTGCGGCCCCCCAGTCCCCTGATGTTCTGTCAGTTTGTCTGTCGGACATTAGGAGCTGGATGAGCGCAAATTTCCTGAGTTAAATGTCAACAAGACGGAAGCCATAAGGGTCCTGCCGACGTCTTCTGTCCCATGGTTCTAACCTCCTCAATCTACCTGACCTGTCCTTAAAACTCTGAACTCGTGCACAACTTAGGCATCAAGTTCAATCCCCAGTTATCCTTCCTCTCCCACATCTGGTCCCTAAACAACACTGCTTTCTTCCACTTCCGCCACATTGCCCGTCTCCGACAATACCTCACCCCAAAAGTTGCCGAAACCCTTGTCCATGCCTTCGTCACCTCTCCGCTGGACTACTCTAATGTCTTCCTCTCCCCTCCTTCACTAATCACAAAATCTAACTCATTCAAAACTCTGCCGCCCGCATTCTCACCCGCACAAAACTTCATATCCTGATTACTCCAGTCCTTGCCAAACTCCACTGCCCTGTCACAGAGCGGATCGATTTCAAGATCCTCACTCTAGTGTTTAAATCCCTCCATTCCTTGGCAGCCCCCTATCTCTCCAACTTCCTCTCCCCCCACAGCAGTACCCACTGCCTCCGCTCTACTCGGTCCGGCTTCCTCTGAGTCCCCCGAATCCTCCGCTCCACCATTGGCAACCGTGCTTTCACCCACTACGCCCCGAAACTATGGAACTCCCTCCCTCAACTCCTTCACCTCGTTCCCTCCTTCCCCATTTTCAGGTCGCGCCTGAAGACCTTCCTTTTCGACCCTGCCTTCGGTCATCTTCCCCCTCCCCCTGGCTTGGCTTTGGGCTCCACCATTGTTAAGCACTCTGAGACGCTGCTCAGCGAGGAGGGCGCTATATAGTGCAAATTGTTGTTGTTGATAAGTCTATTAAAGAATAACAGTTAAGTAAAGTTAATAGTGAAAAGGAATGCAATAAAAAGTTGCTACAATATCCTAATAACTTTCCTTCATCGCTAAAAGGTTCAATGTTACATTACACTAAAAACTTCAACAAAGCCAATGCATTAAATACTTGGTGCAATCTATGTGTAAGGTTAGGATATGCTCCTGCTGAGAAAGCTGCAATAGTTGACTTTAAAGCTGTTGTTTTGCACACGTTGGCAAAAATATCCCACACACAGGAAATCCTGGTTGAATAGGTCAGTCTGGAAATCTCTTTCCATTGGGGCCAAAAAGGAAGGGGTTGATCAATGGGAGGAATGCAAAGTATAAATTCCTGAAATACCTAGTCACAACACACCTATTAAATTTAACTATTCAAAATGCAATTACACCAGTAATTCGATTTGTAATGAAGCCAGCCATTTAGTGCCCCCAATAGAGTGACCCAAAAGGGCACACAGTTATTTTGGAGCCGAGCGGCATACCAAGCCTCCCCTTCGCTTAATTGTAGCAGACAGCCTTTTGTAACAACATTGCAGGTCAGTACTTCATCTTTTTGGAAACAGCAGCAGTCAGAACCAGACTGCTAAAGAACTCCATTGTTCACAAAATGACAAACTTGTTTAAAAAAATCCAGCTGACAAAAGGTATAAAAGAAATGTGGCGATCATAAAAGTTGTAGGATTATTTAAAGACAATAAATATAAAATGCGGAGATATGAATGGATGAATATTGGCTGTTATTCATAGAAACTGTATCTGATAGCTAGGATTTTAAGCAGTTAAAAAATATTTATCCGTTCATCCAGCACCAGTCATGCAGTGCAGTATTTTAATTTCTGGCAGTCTCAGGCGTCCTGAGCCAACTGAGTCGCCAGCCCTCCAGGTACTGCGGATGAAAGACCAGCAGCCTGGAGGTGCAGATCAGTCTGTGAAGGCAGGGATTGTTCCCCTCAACTCCTGTGAACTCTGCAAGGCAAACTCCTAATGGGTAGGGTGGTCCAAACTGGACAAGCAGCAGGAAGCTTACCTCAATGGCAAGCTATGTGGTTTTAGTGCACGCTCTAGGACCCTCTGCCTTGACTTTTGCCAACCTGGATCTAATAAGTGCTCCTAGACACGACCCAAGTGAAGGGCACTATATAATTGCAAGTCGTATTTGATGTTGTTGTAATACTTTCTGGAATAGGTAAGCAGAATGCATCCCTCCAAGGAGAGAATGCGTATTCCATTTCCACACCCTGGGAAATTTTCGTCTTTAAGTCTCTGTGAAGGCTGTGACATTAAGGGCAGATTATTGAAATAATTTGGAATTCAGATCATTCTGGCAGTAGCATGTGCCACTGGGGTATAATTAAGGATATTGGCAAATCAGTAAATTGTATGTGTTATGTTTTGCAATTTCAGAATTTTTTCCAAATTTACTCTGGCAAATCGTGAATCCTAAGTCAGAAACGTTTGAAAAGAGGACAGGTAACCCAACGCCAGAGGGGAACGTGGCTGTTTTACTCACTGGCCTCTTTTCGGACTTTGCCGAATTAGGATACATAACTTTTTGTCTGCCACTGTCACAAAATTACAAGTTACAAAGCAGAAACAGCAATTTGTCCAATAAATCCAGTTTACGAACATCTCAAATTCGACCCACTGTGAATATCTTTTTATACTTCAGTCTCAGTCGCACAAACAGCAATGAAGCCCTGAGTGAGAAGGCTTGTGGGTGTGAAGGGAAAGTTAAACAATTTGAAGATTTTGTTGCCAGTTTAATCCTGTCCTTCACCAAGTCCTAATGCCAGGTCTACTATGATATTCCTGTTTAAAGCAACTGTTGTAAAACAATAACAATGACATCTTACATTTACATAGCGCCCTTCATGCAGGGAAGAATCTCAGAGCACTTAACGATAGCGGAGCTTGATGCCAAGCCGGAGAGAGGATGAGGTAACTAGACACGGTTGAAAAGGAAAGGCTTTGGCATGACCTGAAGACTGGCAAGGAGGCCTCTCCAGTCTGATTTCCATGCTGCTCACAGTACTAAGACAGTGCACGTCAGTCACAAATGACATCCGCTCTCTCTAAATGACCAGGGATCCCTCTGCCTCCTTGTGCACCCTTTACTCCAGGACCATTGCTGTCCAGACAGAATGTCTGTCAGACATCAAGTCCTGGATGAGAGTTAACTTTCTTCAGTTGAACGTCAACAAGACTGAGGCTCTTCTGATTGGCTCCCGTCAGCGCCTCCACACCTCAGGCGCTGACAGCATCACCATCCATGGTTGCACACTCCACCTTACTCAGTCAGTCTGGAACCTTGGCATCTTGTTTGACACTCAACTATCCTTTCTACCCCGCATATGTGCCATACCCCGCTCTGCCTTCCCCCACCTCCGCAACATCCCCCGGCTCCTCCACTGTCTCACACCACAGGCCGCCGAAACCCTCACACACGCATTCATACCATCCAGGCTCGACTATGCAAACTCCTTGTTTGTCGGCCTCCCCAATTCCTTCCTCCATAGACTGCAGATCATTCAGAACTCTGCAGCCGGTGTCCTCTCCTACACCAGGCTGATCCCATCCCAACTGTGATCCCATCACTTCCATACTTGCCCAACTCCACTGGCTTCCCATCACACAGAGGATACAGTTCAATATCCTGGTCCTCACCTTCAAAGTCCTCCATGGCCTTGCTCCCCCCTATCTCTGTGGAAGTTGACCAATGTCTGCAGATGGCATCACTGAGTGGGAGTAGGTAAATGAGAAAAAGTAGGGGGCCAAAGATAGAGCCCATACCATCCTGCCCACTTCCTCCGCTCAGCAGGCTCCGGCCTGTTTCACGTACTCCGCTTCGCCTGCCCCACCATTGGTAGGTGGGCTTTCTGCCAATCTGCCCCCACCCTCTGAAACTCCATCCCGCAGTTCCTCCGCCTTGCCCCCTCCCTTGCCTTCTTCAAGACCCATGTCAAGACCCTCCTCTTCAACTATGCTTTCGATCACCCTGCTTCCTCCCCTGCCCTCCACCCTCCCGGACCCCGGGTCCAAAACACTCACTGTCCAGCGTTTTGGGGCATCCTCCCGACGTGAAAGGTGCTATAAAATTTAATTTTGTTGTTGTCCTCCTCTACCTCTCCTCTCCCTTAGACAGTCGATCACGCTATCCTCCTCTCCTCCCTCATCCACCTGGGACTGCACTCTCCTGGTTCAAGTCCTAATTGACCCACCTCCACCACTTTGGCTTCACAAACGGGTTCTCCCTTCCCTGCATGGTCACCTACAGCTACCTCAAGGCTCTATCTTTGGCCCCCTACTTTTTCTCATTTACCTACTCCCACTCAGTGATGCAATCTGCAGACATTGGTCAACTTCCACATGTATGCAGATGACACCCAAAACTATATTTCCCCTTGTAGTGGGATCCCCCTCACCACAGATGTCCTGTCACCTTGCTTGTCAGATATCAAGGCCTAGATGAGCGCCAACTTTCTGCAGCTGAATGCTGACAAGAAAGAAGCCATATTCTGGCTCCCGTAAGTGTCTTTTCATCCACGGCACAGAACTTCCTAACCTCCTTGGCCTATCCCTCAGACTTATTGAACCTGTGCTCAATCTAGGCCTTAGATTCAATCTTTACTTATCCTTCCCAGCCCAAATCTGGGTCTTAACCAGGACCGCTTTCCTCCACATCACCCGCCTCCAATCATAACTCACACCTAATACAGCTGAAACCCTTATTGATGCATTTGTCACCTTCTTGCCTCACTTTTTGCAGTGCTCCCCATGATGGTCTCCCCAGCTCCATGATTCATAAAATGTAATTAACTCAAAACTCCACCGGCCACATCCTCACCCATGCGAAACCCCCATCATCCCAGTCCTTGCCAGGCTCCACTGGCTGCCTATTGCAGAATGGTTCAATTTCTAGATCTTCACACTCATGTACAAATCACTTCATGCCCTGAGACCTCCCTACCTCTCTGACCTGCTTAAGCCTCACTTCTCTAACTGAGCCTTTACTGAGCTGACTCAGTTGTTCCCTCATCCCTTCCGCTTGGCAGCCGCTAGAGGCCCAAGACTCTGAACTCTCTGCCTCAATCCCAACTCTCGGAATCCAATAAATTCAAGAGCCTCACTCAGTCCTTCACTGGTGTCTGGGTCTTAACCAGGACCGTTTTCCTCCACATCATCCGCCTCCAACCATAACTCACACCTAACACAGCTGAAACCCTAATTAATGCATTTATCACCTCTCGACTCACTATTTCCAATGCCCCGTGGTGGTCTCCCCAGCTCCATTATTCATAAAATCTGTAAGTATCACATGGGGTCGTTCATTAAAAGATTCATTGTTAAAGAGCATGTGTGGGAACCTTGGATGAATTTCCCCTCTGAAGCCAGAGGTCTCTGGCCTTGCTAAAATCAGTAAAGTTAGCACTGACAAGATATTGAATTTGGGCCCGTTGTTCATCTGCTCTTTTTTATTTTAACTTTTGTTTTTTTTATTTTGGAAACACAATTGTCATGAGGATGACCTTACCATGCCATGGATTATGTATGTACAACCCCATCCAAAGCTTTTTATGGTTCCAAACAGATTCATTCCCAGTAACTAACCTTCATAAACATGCTGAATCCAGTTTTGAGCAGTTCTGTAAGGCCACCGGACATATACTCGATATCCACAGCTTCAGGTCGATCTGGATGCAATATCTCCTCTAAGACCTGCCTCAGCAGAGGCTTGTATGTGGCCTACAGATTGCAAAAGTTCAAGTCAACAGGAATCTTGTTTCAGTGGCAATTAATATGCACATTTGTAATTTTCTGCCCATCTTCAAAGTTTCTCCCCCCCTTTCAATTAGATGGAAAATATAAAAACTTTAAAAGAATACTTTCCTGAGCAGCAATATGGAGCAAATGAGATTCTTTAACAAAGAGTCTGAGTGGAGATGTCTTACAGCAAATAGACATACATGGTGTCCACAAGTCCTCTTACCCCCTGTTACAAAACAGTGATATGAGGCGATGGAGGAGCTGAAACAAGCTGTCAGAGATGCATTTCACATTGTCACTACATCCATATTATGGAAGATCTTGCATCGAACATGGCGATAGATCAGTATCTGCCCTGAAAATGATGTCACACTGATCCTCTGGCCATTTGGACATCTAAATACAGTTGTACTAAATACAATTAAATAATTCTATATACAATTACCATCATTCTTCCACATGTTTAGTTGTTGGTTAGTACATTGTAGGAAAAAATACAAGGGGGTAACATGTCTTTGTGGACAACCTATAGGGTAAACAACAAGAGGAGAACTGGGTGAAAACCAAATAAATAAATCAAATAAATTAAAAGTTCTTGTTCAATTTAAAGTTCCGAGAATTTAATCCTTTGAGCGCTGACGTACGTAACTAAGCAGGCTCTGAATGAGCAGACAGTTCTGATTAAGCAAAGTACAAACACGTGCTCTGTGCCAAGGAACCCAGGTAAGGAGGGAGGAGTGGAAGTAAAACTGTAGGTCCCGTTCTTTCAAATGGCTGGCTTACTCCCCAACTCTCTGCTCCAGTTCACATCTAAGCACCTCATATGATGAAGAACAGGGCTCCTTTGATTAAGAAACACTGCATTTTATTGTTTGAAAAGATCACTGGTTTCACCTCCGGCTGGGAACTGTGCAGTGTGAGGCACAGGGACAGCTTTCTGCATGAAAGTATTCTCGGTCAACTGGAAAAGACTGGCCTCGAACCAACCGGAAGTTAGGATTATCCCTGATATGTAATACTGAGCACAAAGACATGGACAGAACATATGGTTCAGAATTTATTCTAAATATTCTTATTAATGTTCCTTTTTAAAAAAAACGGTGTTTATAGTTATATGGGGAATTGATATTCAAATATTTTCATTATTTGAACTCATTTTAAGGTAACAGAATGCTGCATTCTAACAATTATCTTGAAACCGGCAGGGACTGAATCAAGTTGGTCGGAAACAGGCTCAGAATAGGGAAGCCATGGGGCAACAACAGTTTTATATACACACACACAAGACCATTGGTGTTGCAAACTAGCAGCTGGTGCAGGGAAATCGCTCTGGATGGTGAATGGGGAGAGGCTGTGACTGGTGCATCTTGCTCAGGATGCAGAGCTCAATATCACTAAACATGCTTTGTAGTGACCAAAAGGCCTCTGAAGCCAAAGCGCAGAACCAGATTCAAATCAGAACAATTCAAGAAGTAGCAAAAGCTTTAATAGGTGCAAGAGATAATCTGCATTTATAGAGCATGATGGAGACTCCTTCAGTGGGTGATCTGTAATTTTTAAAAACTATTATATAGGAATGTTGGAATATGCAGGAATGAAAAAACGTTATGTGGTCCAGCAGTCTGGTCTCAAAAGAATAAATAAGTACATATTAGAAACTACTTTATCTCTTGTACATTACAATCAGTCCTATAGTCCTGTAGCTCAATGTTAGAGCACTTGCCTCGTAAGCGAGAGACTTGGGTTTGATTCCTGGCAGGGCAAAACGTTCAGCAAGTTTCCTTACTCCACAAGCCTCTGTTTACCTAGCAGTAAGTGGGAACCCGATTGTTAGTCAATTGGCGGATCTCTTTTCTGGGGATAATAATCCCCTCCCCCCCACAAAAAGCAATGATAATTTGGTCACTCAATCCACGACTGTTTGTGGGAGACTGCTATCCGCAATTGGCTGCTGCATTTCTCCTACAAATATACAGTCAATTCACTTTACAGTCTATTTTGTGAAGAGCTTTGAGACGTCTAGAAGACGTGAAAAACCCCATATCAAATGCAAGGTTTATTATTATATTGTTATTATTATAATCAATTTTTTCACCAAATAACTATCTAATTCCCTTTTGAACTTCCTGATATAATCTGCCTCCAATGCTTTCCTATCACTCTTTGTGTACAGCAATCAAATCTGAACCATTTGTTCTAAACTTGAATCCATGTCCCCTTTGTTGTACAGTTTATACTTATGGTAAATATATTAAGTTAATTTTCTCTATACTCTATGGCATCTGAATACTTAGATAATATTGAATTACATCCATTATTATACAGATAATTCCAAATGAATATATGGGCCAATGAATACAATATTGTATGGGCCTAAATCTCTTAAGACCTTCAGTATCTAGCTTCAGTAACCAAACATCTATAAAAGAATGTCTGTCCAAATATGGCACAGAGTCAACCTTTTACTACAAATTTTCTTGGAAGCTTGTAACATTTCTCCGTGCAATACATTCTAATGGATTTTGTCAGCGTAGATTAGCCAAAAATGAAACAAAATGACAAAAACATTTTTACTCAGAAAAGCTTTTAAATAAAAATGAGAATACATAGACTGTTGTTCCTCAGACCTATTATAGTCTGCAGATTGTTTCATGTCTGGCCTGACTGCCTGCCTGAGGCATCAACTACCGAATGCAGAGGAATAGCTTACCTCCAGCATGTGTGTACAATTTACTGCCTTAAAGTGGTTTTATTTTACCTTGCAGGTTAGCTAGCTTTGGCAGTAAAACAAGTTCTATATCTTATAGCTTTTTTAAAAGAAACATTGCCAGAATACAACTATTGTTTTCTTTCTGTTGGGTTCACTACACTATAAATGTCAAAACAATTTTTTTTAGGGGATTAAGGAACAATTCAGTCTATTTCTCCTCGGGGCTTTGTACACCCACTTCTCATCATGAAGTAATACAACTGCTGACATTCGCTGGATTTTTTTTGGGGGGGCGCACAACATTCCAGAGCTCTTGTCAACCCTAGTCACGCAAAACTTAAGTGTCTAACAACAGTCAGTAGCTTTGAGCCAAACACAGACCATCTGTTTAATATCTAGACTGAAATAAATTTAGAATTAAAAGGTTTGGGTTGAGGCAAACTACTGAAGGAGAACCTCATGAAACACCACTAGATTTGCTCCCCTCTATAGTTTACTTAAGTTTGATTACAATTGTGAAGCTACTCTTGCTGAAAAACAGACTTTATTCAGTAACCAGCAAAGTGTTTTTTCCAATGGAAATCAAGATAACATACATCATATGCAATTTACAATCAAAGATAGAGCATCTTTATTTTTGTAACTGTCATAACTGAATGTTTGAAATATAGCACTTTACACATTTTAATAATAATCCTTGCATTTTGATATAGCGCTTTTCACGTCTTCTAGACATCCCAAAGCGCTTCACAGAATATACCGTAAAGTGAATTGACTGTATATTTGTGGGTGAACGCGGCAGCCAATTGCGCACAGCAATGTCCCACAAACAGTCGTAGAGTGAAAGTGACAAATTTATTATTGTTTTTTTTGAAGGGATTATTATTAGGCTCTGTGTGGAGTAAGGAAACTTGCCCAAGGTTTCGCCCTGCCTGGAATTGAACTCAGGTCTCTCGCTTGCAAAGCGAGTGCTCTAACCACTGAGCTACAGGACTCCACGTGTAACTCCAAAATAGCAAACTCCAAAATAGCAAAATTTTGCTATTTTTGCTATTTTGGAGTTACACATTTTATGACAGAACTTCTACGTCAGTGCATTTTAACGCATGGTGGGGGATGAATGATGTTGCTAAAACCAGACCCGCATGCAGCCTGGGTGGAAGGGTATTAAAACAGATGAGAAAATAAGTAGAACAATGACAGAGTTGAAAAGAATTTTTTTGGTGTGAACTTTGTGCGATCTTATTTGTAACTCCTCATCCATGTTAATATGCTAAGGAATCAATGTTCTTTTCTATGTTTCTTATTATGGGGTGTCCCTATATACTCCAATTATAGCCTAACTAAGGTCTTGAACTAGTTCAACATTCCCTCCTCATGTTAATATTCTATACTTCTAGATATATAACTGTGGATTCAATTTCACCTATTATGACCTTATTTACCTTCACTTCAACTGTGCCTTTGGCCATCTTCCCACCCCCACCCCCCTGTCCTCCTCCCCTTCTGACCTCAACTCCCAGCTCGGGTCCAAAACCCGATTGCCCTGAGACGTCTTTCTGATGTGAAGGGCGCTACACAAGTGTAATTTGTTGTTGTTGTTGTGCACAAGCACTGATCTGTGTCTCTGCGTACTAAGGTCCCTCTGCTTTTCTACTTCATTTTAGAATCTAACATGTTTAGGTGCATTTCCTCTCCCTATTCTTCCTTACAAAATATATTAGTTCCCCTCCCACATCCTTCAGTTCCCACCCCAGCTCAGATGCCCAGTCAGCTGTGCCAAGGGCTTGGCGGCATTCTCCTGACATGAAGGGTTATATGAATGTAAATTATATTCTATAGTACTTCACACTTTTCTAAATTAGACTGCATTTACTGCATACCTACCTAAACTATTATCTTATTCATTTCCTCCTGCTGTATATTCAAATTTTAATCCCAATGTGGTATCCCCCCAATTTAGTGTCATTATAAAATTCTTATATTGTCTTTTATGATTTGTATCTTTTAGAAAAATCTGTGCTGTGATAAGAATTTTTGAGGGTCAGTGGGGTGTATGACTCATGCGGATATTCATCGTCATGTTTAAGAGTATCCAAACCAAGCTGAGAATTCCATGCATCCCATCTACACATGGAAATTCCAGAGATAGATTGCTGGAATGGAATGCACATTCTCACCCTGGAGGGATGCATCCTGCTTACCCAATTCCGGAAAGTATTAGATTGGCAAGAGCAAGGCTTGGGGACCCCAGAGTGTGCTGTGAAAACCTCAAAGCTTGCCACTGATAGTAATGTCTAGCAAGCTTTCCTGCTGCAAGCTAGACTCACCCCAGGGCTTTGGCTTGCAGGAGCTGAGTGGGAGGATTCGCTGCCCTCAGTGACTGGTCTGCTCTTCCACATCCTGCCAATGAACCAGACTGGCTGTGCTGTCATCAGCAGTGCCCTGGAATACTGCAGACCCGCCTGGCTCAGGAACCGGACTACCAAGTCTGCCACAGAGGGCTGGCATGATTCTGACATTCCTTTCCCAAACATGTCAACTTGGAGCCAGTTTAGCACCAATGAAGAGAGTCACTAGTTGGTTGTTAAGAATCATTAGATACAGCAATGTCACAAAAACACAAATAAAGTTGTCCGAAAACTGCCCAATGATTTAAATGGTAAAGCCACTGCCCAATATGAAACTGAATTACACAGACTTAACAAGTCACAAACACAATCCAAGTTACCTTACGTCTGCCAGCCAGATTTACAGTGTTATAGTTAGCCTCAGAATCCTAATATAGAATAGGGATCACAAAGGCAAATCAGCCATTCCTAACCACTACTCCTGGAAAGTGTAAACGTGTGGGTGTTGGATGGAGCGAGGATTAGAAGAGACTCCTGATAACAAACTTATATGGGCTGGTTTTAGTGCATATCCATGCTGGTTCTAGTGAATGGTTTCTTTAACTATTCTTACAGGGATTCTTTGTGCTGCGAAGCACTATGGAACATGCTCATTCTGCACATTTGATTGGGATTCAAGTGGCAGCTATTCAATGTGCATTCCACAAACACCAACAAGCAATGGGAATCAACTGGGAAGTTGTTGGCAGAACACATTTTTTTGGTTTAAAGGTTTTTTTAAAAAAAAACTGTTTCAGCCCTCCTTTTGTCTGGTAATCTCCCATCTCCAGCAGTTCAAAATCAGAAGTAATTCATTGAATCATAGAAATTACAGCGTAGAAGGCCAGTTAGCCCATTGACATGAAGTCAGTGCTTGCTCCAAAACACACATTCAATTTTAAAATCAATGTTAATATAAATGTATTTGTTGTTTTTCCTCTTCTCCTGAATGTGTTGTCTCACATTCGATTATAGTACTATGCACAAAAGGCCCCTTCTGGAAACTCAACTAAACAGTGGGAAGAATTTGTTAGGTCTACATTTTGCATTTTATGGTACACAAATCAAAAAGATACACCATCTGGCTTCAGCTGTTATGTTACTGATCATACAGGGTGCTGAGGCTCACATGTGAAGAATGACCACTTGTTTAAAGTAGTGGAGGGTGACCAGAGTCTGTGGAACTCCTCTCCTCCTGGTTTGGGATGGGGGGCTGTGGGGAGGTAGGTAAGCTGACTATCTTTGGGGCTGAGTTGGCTCCAAGGTTACATGTCTGGTAATGGAAGTTTGGGTTAAAATGGACTTCTATAGCAGTCTTGGTAGTCTGATACACTCAGCTCCTGATAAGGTTATAAGCCAATGGTAGGCTGTGTAGTTTTTGCTGGGTTAAACTTCAGCACTATCCTAATTCACACATGGGGTTGTTTCCAAGTGTTGGCTCCTGCCTACCTGCACGTATACTCTCTGGGATTATGTAAAGAGAATATTCACCTTTGGAGCACTCCAAACCAGACAAACAGAAACAGTATATATGTAGAAGTCCCATTAGTTTGGTTTGGAGACTCTTAAGTGTGGTGATGGGTTTCTGTGTGTATCAACTATCGACCTGACCAAAAAAGAACTCTGTAAAACTACAACCTTACAAGAGTCCGAGAGGGATGGAAAATTATTGGAGAAGAAAACAAAATAAACTTTTCCATATCTTTACCTGGTGGGTGTCATCTCCAGGGTTGTATAAAACCCTGAACTGTTTCATATGTGACCGTGCTCTGGAGATCCCCCGCAGGTTTTCAAACACCAAATCTACAGCAGTAGTGGCTGTGTTGAAGGTTAATTCAGGTGATGAGGAGCAACCTGAAATAGAAATAATTATTTATAAAACTTGTTAATAAAACATTCAGAACTGCAAAGAAGTAACTTCTGTGCAGCCCGACAACATGTGGTGCCAGTCAGATCCCGCAACAATTTGTGTAAAATGTCTGTGACCTTGATTCAAGTGGGTCTTTGAAACAGTACTTCCTCATGTCACTAACTTGGAAACTTGGAAACATGTAGCACATTTTCCTCATTACGTGAATAAGTATTTGTGGTGTGCCACAGATGTCAGGATTAGCACCATTATCATTTATAATTTTTATAAGTAATTTCATCTGAAATATATCAAAGTTGTCTAAATTTGCAGATAATACCAAATTGGCAATTGTTGAGAATCAATGTGCACTAATTTAAAATTATCTGGAGAAACAGGGTATACGGGCAGAAAGGTGACCGATGCAGTATAATACAGAGAAATGAGAAGTAATAGGATTCATCAAATAAGGAGCAGTATGGAATATGTGCTGAATGGCAATGTAGTTATGGTAAGACCATGTAGCTTTTGTAAAATAGGCCACTGAAATCATTTGTATAATGTTCCCGGATAATTAAGAAAGTGAACAAACTGCTGGGATGTTTAATTGAGGGATCAGGATATAATTTTATTGTATCTGATCTTGGTGAGAATACATTTGGATGATTGCATCTAGCATTGGTCTGCCATTTTCAGAAGTGGTATACAATTGTTGGGGGGCAGGGGGGCGGTGTCGGGAATAATATTTCCATGACTTAGGGGCAGCGCCATAAGGAAAGATTTGCTATCCTATGATTCTTCTATCTTAAAGTGAAGACTTGATACAGATTCTAAAATGATGAATCTCTCAAAACAAAATTTAGACACCAATACATTTTATAATGTTATATCAAATTTCAACAACAACTTACATTTATACAGTATAGTGCTCTTCACATGGGGTAGCGTTTCAGGGCACTTAAAAGGGGGCAATAGGTTCAGTAGATGGATAAAAGCCTTGCAAAGCTTTAAAAGCCTCTTGGACTTAGCTTCACCCAGTTGGCTCCTGTGCAAAAGCTTCATAGTTTCTGTACACCACTTGGAAGTTCTCCATATCAAACACTTAAACCACATTTGCGCTTTTGATCTCATATAAATCCCACAAACAGTTGTTCCACGCTGTACTGAAACAAGGAATTTATATTCTGGTAAAACAGAATTTAATTTGCGTTCACAGGTGAAGTGGGGCTATAAGTTCCAAGTTATCCTACATTGTTTTATAGTTCTGATGCTCGATGGGAGAAATGGAAACATGCTGCGTTCCTAAATAAAGCCATTCTCTTGACCAGTACACTTTTTATCAAATGGACATGTACTATTATTCTACATGGACCCATTAAAGACATAAAACACACCAGCTCCACTGAAACAAAGAATATGCTTATAAATTTACATTATTATTTTTCTGATAATTGTGGTCGTTAAAATGTTTTCCTAATAGTTTCCATCTACATTCACCTTATAAGACATTATATAACATTTCATCATTTACAGGCTTTTCATTTTTTTTCTGTTCAAGTTTAATGCAGATGTTGGGGAAAAAATAACCATCTGTCTCATTGTGTGCATATCACATACGTAGATAGCTCTGAAGGAAATGTTCAGCGTCTTCCATCACCCTCCTCCTTTCCAACATTCCCCGGGTCACCAGGAATGTGAAGAGAAGCTCAAACTACTCTACAACTCCATCCCCAAGAAATTTGGACATAAACTACACAAAAAGAATGGCTTTGTTGTGATGAAGTCCACTGCCACTAAAGAACTAGTACACAATCCATATGAAATCCAGATTGGAGGTTGTGATGCTTGAATTGCTGAATGATCGAGAATAGCGTGAGAGGCTGCACTGAACGTTTGCCAAAACACATACTACCAGTTAAGAACTGATGGCATGCGCTGCTGTGTTGCAATTTGTAGTCTGCCTTTATGACAGAAAAAGGGTCAGTTACAAGGCCAGGTGGCTTTATTGTTTTTTTACACACACACACACAATTGTCCTGGAGCAAGCTGATTACTGTGACATTTTCTGCATTCGAAAAATGCAGTTTACTTTAATGTTTTCAAGTTGAATGTTTTGAAGTATTAATGGAAACATTGCAGAACAGGCATTCTGCAGTTACATAATATCTGGGATAATGGCTGCCAGAACTGTATAAGTCTGCAATTCCATTAAGCAAAGCTTATGAGGTCACAAACCACAAAAATATTAACAACACTCGGAATCTGAATTACAATCTTAACCTCAACGCCAGATATGTGTTGCTACTCACAATAAACTAAACAGCTTCTTGAAAAGTATAAAGCACAGTGGTGTGCACATGTCATGCACTTTGACGATTTATGGCGGTGAATGCTTACATAAAGAGTTCTTCTCAGATAAGCTCATCGGATAGAGAGTCAAATCATACCACTCTCCCAGCAGCTAAAGCACCATTGTTGAGTGCTATTGGAATCTTTAGTCATAAAAGGTTATGGGCCAGATATTGCAGTGTGGAGAACTGTGATGTTCGATTTGAAGAGACTGGGTATTATAATAGGATTTGAAGAGATAGGATATTATAGATCATTAACTCATGTTTTGTTGTTTAAGAAAAATCTTGTACACTATTTTTTTTTGAAGGGATTATTGCCCCTGGAAATGCGATCTGCCAATCAACTAATAACCGGGTTCCTACTTTCTATTAGGTGAACAGAGGCATGTGGTGTAAGGAAACTTGCCCAACATTTCACCCTGCCCAGGAATCAAACCCAGGTCCTCTCGCTTGCAAGGCGAGTGCTCTAACCACTAAGGTACAGGACTCCACCATGGACAAGACAGAGGCTTTCCTGCTTGGCTCCCACCGCCTTCTCAACACAGGTGTAGACAGGATCAAACTGGAGATGGATACTCCACCTCATGGAGCCTGTGTGGAATCTCAACTCTCAACTCTCCTTTAAACTTCACATCTGTGCTCTGTTCTACTCAGCTTCCCCCTACCTTAATAACATCTCCGCCATTACCTCTCCCCTCGGCCCACCGAGACACTGAATCACACATTCAATGTCCAGGCTAGATTACGCCAATTATTCTCTTTGCAGGCTGCAGACCATCCATAACTCTGCAGTTAGTGTCCTTTCCTGCACTAGGCTTTATCAATCACTGGGCCTAACAATCCATCCTCACCTGGCTCCAGTGGCTCCCATCACCAGTGAATCGAGTTCAAGTTTCTCATCCTAACCTGTAAATCCCTCCATGGTCTTTCCCCAACCAACTTCTGCAACCTCCTCAAACCTACAAACCTGGCCGCTCCCTCCATTGATCAGACACTGGCCTGCCTCACGTTCTCTGCCCCACCCACCGTGTCCTGGCAGAGATCCACCATTGGTGGTCGGGCTAGCGTAGCTGTCCCCACTATATGGAACTCCATCCCGAAATCTCTTTGACTTGCTCCTTGCCTCGTCCGTCTTAAGACCTTCCTCTTTGACCGTGTTTTCAGCCATCTTTCCCCATCCAGCTATTGTTATGGCATCTCTAAGTATCTGCCAATATATCATCGACCAAATTCCCCTTGGAGGAGTTATTGAACTCAACTCAAATTAATATCAGTACAATGTCATTAAATGGTAGTTAATCAACGTAGTAAAAAGGAAAGGTACAATCCCCAAAATATATGCTGTTACCTGCATTTTTATTTGCCTTTACTTACACTAGGGTTTTAAATCCATACCCAGAATTAAAAATATAATATTATATTGTTTGTACCCATTAGTTCTTCACAGAAATTCCAAACCTATTCTTTGCAGAAATGATAGAAGATACACTATATAGAAATACAACACTTCCAGTTCATGACAGTCTGGAAATATTTTCGAATGAAGTTGCTCACTCTGATAGCACTAAACTGAGCAGAGGGAGCCACAAAGCTCTGTGCAGCCCACGGAGTAAGCAATCATCCCAGAACTCATACATTTCACTGATCACCGAATCAATCCTTTGCAGAACAGACATTAGCCAATGAAATAATGTAGATTTCATCCAATGTTTCTAATTTCACATCTATACATCACAATGCCCACCTCCGCCCATACCTCTCAACCAAAGCAGCCGAACCCTCATCCACGCCTTCGCCACTCCCCACCTGGATTATTCCAATGCCCTCCTCGCTGGTCTCCCCAGCTCCACCGTATATAAAATTCAACTAATTCAAAAATCCACTGCCCGGACACTCACCCGCACAAAACTCTGTATCCCGATCACACCAGTCCTTGCCAGGCTCCATTGGCTCTCAAATACCAAACGGATCAATTTCAAGATCCTTTCACTCGTTTTCAAATCCCTTCCATGCCCTCACACCTCCCTAACTATCTGATTTACTTACGCCCCACTCCACCACCCTCGGCTGGATCCAGCCTCCTGTTTGTCACTCGTGCTCTATGGTCACCTCCCCATTCCCTTTCCCCCTGGCTCGGGGTCAGACTCCGCCACTATCAAATACTCCGGGACACTACCCCGAAGAGCGCTATATAAATACAAGTTGTTGTTGTATCTATCCAACATTCTGGAATGAATGATGTATGGATTGCTTGCAGGTATAACACCCCTGAGTAAGGTCACTATTGTGCTTGAAGTAGAATGCTGGAAAACCTATACTTGTTGACATTTTGGCCTTTGTTGGACGTTTGAGGTAGCAATAGTATGCTGGGATCAGCAAGCCATTAGCAAATTGAATTTTTTTACAGAAAATTACTGACTTCCATTATCAAACACAGTGTTAACAACAGGGTAATGATAAACCACAGCAGTTGGTTGCCACATTCAGAAAATGTTTCGTAAGTGGTGTCTGTGTACTTTGTAGTGGCCTTAATTTGTGCACCCAGAGGCCAGTCTGAAGCCTGTAATTAGTGTGGCACTCTAAGGGAGTACATAATGCTTTGATAATGCCACACTGATGAACGATAAGTTCTGTTGGTGCAGAACCTTAATCCA